AGTCATGCTGGTATGACATGGGTTACAGGTATTCTATCCCAACCAATCACAGAAGACAGTTAGCCATAATACAGAAAAAATTGCAAATTTTCATCATCACTGAGATTTGAACTCTAGACCTGCCACTTGGGAGTTGACAACCTATCCACTTTACTAGGTCATCACACCTCTAACTAATTTTATACTTAAGTTAATATATATAACAAAACTTTTAACTTTAATGTCAACCATTTTAATCTTATATATTCTATTGAAATTAGACACTTTATTTAAACTTTAAATCTCTTTAATATTACTATTACAACATACTCAATTTCAACTATCTTCAAATATAGTTTACTTACAAACAATCTTTAACAAATTGTTAATTATGATTCCAACTTATCAGAACTTCACTTTTATATAGATAGTTCAATTATAAATTTGAATATCTTATAATACTCAATAAGTATTAAATAAACTTAAGTTTCAAATAATTTTATACTTTATATCTTTCAAATTTAAACTAAATATTAGTTTTGCTTATTCAAGTAAAACTTATTATTATTCTATTAGTCTTTATTACTACTCTTAGAAACTATGCTATAAATATATATATAGATTTATAATATACAATCTTTAAATATTATAATCTTATAAACTCAACTATAATTATATTATATACTTATATATTATATTTCTTACTATAAAACATACTTATCAATTTTATTAAATTATATTATATTAATCTTATTTTTTATAAAATTATTACTTATTAAGATGATAAATATGATGGGTATAGTGACTTAGTGAATTAAATAGATTGTCAATCCTCAAGTGACAGGTCTAAGATTCAATTTTCACAGATGATGAATTTTGGAAATTATACCTGTGTTACAGTAACTGTCTCTTGCTAATCGGTTAGGTTTTGGGCATCTGTAATCTTAGTTATACCAAGTCGGGTCCCACCTAATATTAGAAGCTTAGGGCATCTATGTGATATGTAACATTACATAATACATGTATATAGAGGAATATGAAAAAACCAGTGTCATATAAGTAGGGTAAGTGGTGCAAGATAGATGGCATCGCTAATAGTATTTCAAAATCAGGCATGCCATGGCATGCCAAATTTGGCATGGCACAAGGATGGCGAGCCAATCACAATAAAGCTTAGTTTCAATGCATTGGCTTAATTTTTTATATACTATAATATTAAAAAAAAGTTCTAGAGTTATTATAATCGAGATAACATTGTATAATTTTCTGATTAGCAATAATATATCAAACAAATATACAATAAAATTATATGTTATGCAACTGCGTTCTCAATTATAATACTAAAATAAACAATAATCAATTGGTTAAAGCTAAATAAAGTGGCTGCGCAATATGTGTGCACCAAAATCAGGAACGGATGAACCAGTAAATTATATTTAATGTTCTGAAAATTTAAAATTATAATAGCTTAATATTGTAACTATAAGTTATTATACATATTTGAAAATTTTATTTATTTATGCATATATTGTTATTATTTTTGAATTGCTACATTATAGCATATATTATAATTAATTGCTTAAATGTTGTAAAAACTGTAAATTCTTACAGTAAACTATATTACAGTAATATGCATCACTGTTATGCTGTTTTTATAATTCTGTATTGCAATATTGTTATAATGCTTATTAATTCTATTTATGTTAAATTGATAATTTTATTAAATAACTAAAGTATATGCACTAAAAATATTCAGATTTTTTCTGTAATTTGAGGCAAGCTAAATTGTTTTCAAAGAATTTGTGTTATATAAATGCTACAATTTAGTGCATTCATTTAATTTAAAATTATCAAAAATATTTGTTTACTATTAAGATATCAGTTTGCTATTCATCTACTTACAATAAATACATCATCAAATAATGTTGATATTTCAAGAACATATAAATAAAATATCTTAATTAATCAAATATTAAAAATTATAAGTAGCTGTTTTATGTATGTAAATAGAAAATGACTGAAAAAGTGTCTAAATTAGGTGATATTTCAAAACTTGATTAATCATACATACCAAAACATATCAGTCATACATTGTAAAAGACAGGATCATTCTTTCTAAAAAGGTAGTACAAATTCTCAGAATTCCTAGAATTCCTGGAATATGAGTAATTCAAAAAAAAGTAGAAAATGTGAGAATAGCGAGAATAATAAGAAAAGCTAGAAAAATTAGAAAGTTAGAATAGCTAGAATTCGTGTTATTCCTGTATATGTTAAAAACTATTATAAAATGGAGACTTTCTTCAGAAATAAAACATAACTCGTAGAGTTCTAAAAGTAAAAGCTTTAAAATTAGAGTAGAAGTGTTGTTTATAAGTAAAAATCCATTAAATTACATTATCTCCAAGTTGTTAAAATCATTCGTCTTGTAAATCTTGTCTGATTATCATATACTCTATAGAGTTTTGAACCAGAATAAGAAAGAGTATTGATTAATAAGCAGATCCTTTTATATGTAATTTTGTCCCTAATTAAAGTAGTGATTATCTCACTATATTAAAAAATTAGTATCTGTAACTAATCAGGATTGTAACCTGTGATTACATAATACTGCAATTGCGATTGTTAATCCAATTTAGCTCTGATAGTTTACTTATATCGGGATTTATAATACTTGTATACATGATATGATATCACAAAACTCTTAAACTGAGTCATGGTTATCACTTAATAGATCAATCTTCAATTATTTAAAGGAGGTAATTTATTATATAACAATAAAATAAGAAAATGCAAGATAATGATAACAAAATAAGATTACAATAATAAAATGATAAATCTAATTTACTAAACTAATATTCACATGTGAGAATTTGATTCTTAATATAAATTCGAAGACATTGAAGGTTCTTCTGAGACACTGTCTGAGGAAACTTCCCAAAGCCAAAAACTCAGGCTTTAAAACCTTTTACTTTATTAAAAGTTACTATACTATTTATATCTTACCTTTACCTTCGCAGTAATCAGTCTTCAGGTTGTGTTAAATAGTCACCAAATATTATTCATATGCGGCTTCATCTTTGCTAGCATTTTGCACATCATTCTGCTCGCAATCTATTAGCCTCCTTCATCTATCGTACAATTTATATGATTACTTTATCTACTATTTATTGTATGTTTGGATAAACAAACAACCAGACTAGACCTATGCCACTAAGCCTCCCCTTGCCACCTAATATTCCTGTGGCTCTGGTCATTTGATTGTTTAGTACTACCAAGTTACCTCTAAATCACAGGTTTAATTCTAAAACTGTGATATTGTGAACCAAGTTCATGATTGTAGTGGTATTACTAAGAAGAGCCAAAAAGAGTTATTAAAGTGACCTAAAACCAACCTAAGGACTAAAGGGACGACTAAAAGATATTTATCTATAATGGCACTATTTCTATAACCTTTCCTAACTCTGATTACTTGGATCAAGTCTTCATTACTACATTAGGGTTGGGTTATTGTAGTTATAAGAGTGATAGTATTAGTGCATAATAAGTTATTCGATATCAACCCAGCGACTATTCTGATGCAGCTTGAACTTTTACAATCTACAGAACACTTTTATATATAAATAGAAATGGCCAAAAAAGTGTAAATTAGACAATTTAGTAAATTTGGTATAATACAATACATGTGAAAGAGAATCAGTTATGCAATGCCCCAGATTGCATAACACAATCGCTCTATGTATTTTATTTTCCTGCAAAAAGCCAGTACTAAGTATGAAGGATTCTACAGAATTGGCGAGATTCTATCAATAATAAATTGGCCAAATAGCCTTATTCTGCATTATTATCATGTTTAGATAAATTTATTATATTTGCATATAATATCCAGAGAATTTATTAAATTTTAATATGATAGAGTAAAACCTATGCAGTATTTAACTCTATAATATAATTGCTTCTATGCAGTTTCATACTTTTATATTTTAATTATTTATTCTCTTACAATAATATTAATTTGGGAGCTACTTGTATTAAGTTTTTTTCATTATTTAGATTGCTTTTTGATTTATTAATTTATTAAACAAATTGGTTGATAAAATATTGTAAATAGTAGTTTAAATTGAAAGTTAATAATTTAGACTATTTTTGTCGTAAATCTTAATGCTAAGCTTTAGTCTGTTTCAGTGACTAATAACCTTTAATGTCAGTAATATTTGTATTTTTAAAATATGTTTTATAATATTCTTAGCTTTACCTTTTTTTTAATTATCAAAACTATATAAAGCTACTTAACTTAGTTTCCATTTAATATTTTTAAACATAAATTATCAAAAAAAATCTAATACTATGGATTCTGATGAAGATTTTACAACTTCGATTAATACTTTTAATACTATTATAGACTTTGATAATATTGTAACTTCATCAAGTGCTATGGGTATGCAGGATGATTTAGAAGATAATGAATTTATAACTCCACTTAATAATTTTGGTACTCATTGGACAGGTTTTTTACATTCAAAGCAAGTTAAAAATACCAAATCACATCGATATAATGCCAAGTGTTCATATTGTAACAAGGTATTTGAAGCATAAAAAGAAGCAATAATAAGTCATATAACAAATATCTGTCAAAAAATATTAGCTAATGATAAAATACTTTATATACAAAAAATTAATAAAAAAAATTCTGAAAATATATCCAAGTCTTACTTAGATGAAGATATAGATATATCTTCAAAAAAACGTAAAGCTATCTTGACAGACTTTTTCAACAAGGCTTCAATTTCATTAGATAAAATTAATGAGCTTCATACTTTATTATTACAATTATTAATCTATAGTAATGTTCTATTTCAATTTGTTGAAAATCCATTTTTTGCTTTATTTTTAAAAAAATTATACTCAAGTTATAATTTACCTTCGAGATATATAT